TACTTATTGTATTATTTTATTAAATTGTTATTCTGACTTATAATCTCTCTTTTGAGTTGAGTTCATTTCCCCTGCTGGTTTACCTTTAAACCAGCACAAGTACACAGGCGCAGGGAAAGGCACGCGAGCGCAGAAGAGATATTACTTGCATAACCGGGAGGTGGGACTGAGGGCCTATGGCTGGGCGGTGCTGTCTGCACCTGGGAGGTTGTGGTCACTCAGTTAATTGTATAAAAGCTGATAGTGCTTTCTTGGGAGCTAGCTAGCTAGCTAGCTCAAGGACAACGTTGCCTTTGGTGGGGACACCTGCCAGTTTGTGAACTTACTGACTCTCCAAGGATGCAGCTTCTGCTATGGGTAATTATAGGTATGCTAGGTCAGTAAGATAACTTTATGGGCAACAGCTGGGTAACTGAGGAGGTCGTGCTGGGGGCTTATTTCTCTCCTCCTTCCTCCCTTTTGGGTTTGTTTGTTTTGTTGGCCACCTCTTGGTAATAAATATTGGTTTTCCTTAAGCTTTTAACGGTGTCATGGTTTCAAGATTTGGTATGTTTTGAACCTTCCCTAATACAAGTGGCAAGCAGGATCTCTGTATTCTCCCCATGTCACCTGACCTTGCTTCCACTGGGCATACAGCTTCCTTTTTTGCCTTATTTCCAAGAGAAGATCCGTGCTCAGCCAAGCCAGCCTTCTGCCTCACCTGCTTGACTTCCAACATTTGGGAATTGCCTTCTCCTGTGCTCTTAGGAGGTAATGTTTGAAAAGTGACCAGCACTGATGGACCCCAGCACCTGCAAAAACATTTTTCCAGGGGACCTTATTCACTAGTTCCCTGAGCAGCCTGAAGTCTGCTCTCCTCATGTCCAGAGTTGAGGTTTTGCTGGCACTTTTCCTCCTGTCAACAAAGATTTTAAACTCGATTGCTTTGTGGTTGCTGTGGCCAAGACAGCCACCAATCTCCACTTTGCTCATGAGATCCACTCTGTTGACAAGCAGCAGATCAAGGAGGGCATCTTTCTGAGTTGGCTCCCTTAGGACCTGTTCCATAAAGTTGTCATTCAGATTTTTTAGGAGTCTTCTGATCCGGATTGTACCAGCTGTGTGATGCTCCCAGTTAATTTCTGGCAAGTTGAAGTCCCCCAATAAGGCAGAGACAAAAGTTACCCAAATGGTCTGGGAAGGTCAGTGTGGAAAGTTGACACAAATAGATCAGAGTTAATTATAGAATTAATTAGTGAAAGGACTAGAGCACAGGTCTTATGAGGAGCAGATGAGGGAGCTGGGGTTGTTTAACCTGGAGAAAAGAAGGCTCAGAGGGGACCTTATTGCTCTACAACTCCCTGAAAGGATGTTGTAGCAAGGTGGTGTGTTGGTCTCTTCTTCCAGGTAACAAGTGACAGGACAAGAGGAAATGGCTTCAAGCTGCACCAGGGGAGGTTTAGATTGGATATTAGGAAAAATTTCTTCACTGAAAGGGTGGTCAGGCATTGAAACAAGCTGCCCAGGGCAGTGGTGAGGTCACCACACCTGGAAGTGTTCAAAAAATGTGTGGATGTGGCACTTGGGATCATGGTTTAGTGGTGGACTTGGCAATGCTGGGTTAAGTGTGACTCGATGATCTTGGAGGTCTTTTCCAACCTAAGTGATTCTATTATGGGTGTAAACATTAAATGGTAGGTAATATGATACAGAAGTCAGTGACTTGGGTGTCGCTGGGTATCTGTCGAAGGGGTCCCGGTCCAAGGGGGGAAGAAGACACACAACACACACGAGGATGGTGAGACAAAGGGATGTCTGCCTGCTCAGAGCAGCAGGCAGCCTTTTATTAGGTGCCAAGTTCCACTTTCCCATACACACACACACTATGAACATTTTCCTGCAAAACACCCAGGAATGCAACACCTGCAGTTTGTTATACAGCTTTACCTTGCACTGTCCAGCTCTCAGGGCTGTTTCCATGGGAATGTGCAGTTATCTCCACCTTTCTCAGGGGAACGGTCTCACTCCCCTCAATGCCTCCAGCTCTTCTGCTTCCAGGGGGCCCAGGGGTTCCATGGGCCTGCCATCTCCCCCCACACTTGGGAGTACATTTGAATTATGGATTGATAAACTTGCACCCTACATGGTGTATTACTGGGTCACTCAGGTGGCTCTCAAACTCAGCTTTAAAAAAAGTGATCATAAGATGCTGTTATGAAAGTTTTGGGAATTTATAAGATAGTAATTACTGGAAGGCTTTAGAGGATTTTCAGATGCCTTAGAGAGAAAAAACTTCACAGACACACACACCCCTCTCCCCCCCAAAAAAACCCAACCAACAAACTACCACCAACTTCTGATACTTTCAGCTTCTGAGGCTGTTCTATAATTCCTTTGGTTTCATCATGAATTTCCAAAAGTAGCATACTGCTTTGTCACTACTAAAGGATCAGCAGTCAACAAATATATCAGCTTGTGCAGATCACTGAAGAAATTTTCAGCCAGGTTTGAAATTGGGGTTCCCTTGACTGCACTTTCTTATACTTTAAATGAAGTAAGTTAATACTTTTGGATAATTGAGTGTATCTACTTAGGCTCTTTCTAAACAACAAGAGAAATCTTGTCCTGCTGTTGTCTTAGCATGTAACAAATATATTGTACTCACTCTGCTTTTAATTGGTCCTTCTGAGAGTCTGAAAGTAAGTGGTATTGAAGCTGTTAAGTTAAAAATACATTTTGTACACATTACATGCATTTTTTTTGCATCTAGTGCCCCCCCAAAGTTGAGGTGTCCACCTCAGTTCTGAGCAGGCACCGCATCATTGTTTTACACCACAGAAACTGTAATGTTTGTTTTTTATCTTATTTGAGTACACAGAGCTCATCTTACATCATGTTTGCTTGAGTTACATCCCTTATCTAATTCTCTAGGACTTCTCTAAGATTATATTGTTCCTTATTTGGCCATAGCAGAATGTTGTGAGCAATGTTCTATTTCTCCTATCAATTCCAACCCCTTAACATTCTATGATTCTATGTATAGAATTATTACCATACACAGTCTGTAATATGTTTTATGAAATATGCTTTTGCATATAATTTCTTATTAAATCTTTCAGATTTTTCAGATTTTTTTCTTCCACAGTAATGAACAGATGGGTTTTAATTTTTTGTCTCATTAGGTTAGGGGGATGCTTCAACATATAAAGATTTTTCAGGGATCAGAATTTGTTTCCCAACTTTCTGTTAAATTCATGACTGTAACATAAGTAATACTGAATGTTGTCTGAATCATATTTAAGACTATTACTAGAAAAAAAAGTTTTTAAACTTCCTGATGTCTGCTCATTTAAAAATATTTATATTGTTTCTGTAATATATTTATCTATTTGCAAGCATATTCTTAGGATAGGCAAGAGAAAGCATTTTAGTTTATATCATTCACTTAGTCTGGAGAACTGGGGAAAGGAGGTGAAGGGATGGGAGTTGCTTGTAACCTTCCTCTCGAGCTGATGATCTCTCCATGCAAAAATATTCATCCAATTGTCACTCCAGTTTCATATGTTTCTTTGAAGGTAGGGTTGGAAAGTGATTAAAAAATAATCCGGCTATAGTCAACAATAAAAGAATATGATCATTGATATGTAGAAAGCACACAATGCACAAATGGAAGGAAGGCTACAGTCCTAAATTCAATGTGAATGAATGAATTAGCAAGACAAACTGGAGGATAGATTTTTCGGTCAAAGTAGTAGAAGTTAAGAGGGTCCTAAGGCTCTTCATATTCCCACAATAGGGTCTGGATTTGGACCTAGGTAGAGGAAGGGAGAAGGGGGAGAACTAACATATTTAATTTACAAGGTTAACTGGAAATACAGAAACTTGGCATGTCTGTTTTTTGTGAGTGGCTGTTTTCTGTCATAGGATCCCAATACTCATTTTTTAGTATGACTGGTCTTCTGGCCGCTTATGCTCCTGAATTACCTTACTGAAGGAAAAGACTGGTGTTTGCTTATGTGAAAGCAAGGCAGAGAGATCAAAACATGGCAGCCCCAGCTTGCTTCATCTTAAAATGTCACAAACCTTTCTTCACCACTGAGCATGGGTGGTTTAGAAACAGTATGCTCCCTGTGCCTGGATGCTACTCCTCACATGGCATGGCAAAATGGGTTTGGCCATCAGCCCTCAGCATTGCTGGCAGAGCCAAGCATATCAGCAATAACTGCATCTTGAGTGGACCTTTAAATTGTGATATGCAACACACCGCATTATTAGTGCCTGAAACCCGGCCTGCATGTGGGTGTACAGCTGCCACCCCTGCAAGAGCTGCTGCCTGCTCTCCACAGGCAGTCCTTGCAGTGTGCAGTGGCACCCCGTGGCTGTGGCAATGCAGACAGCCTATCAATCTCATTGTGATATCACGATTTCTCAATTAAAAGTATGCCTATGTTCGACACATCTCCTCACTTTAGCATCGAGAAGGGCAACCCTTGCTGTGGGGAACGCTTAGCCCTAGCTTCCCGCTGCCTGCGGGCACAGGCCTCGCGGGTGATTGCAGTGCCAGCCAGCAACACGAGAGGCTTCAGCTTCCAGGCGATGCCGCTTCTCGACACCGGTAGCCCTAGGCCAGCTCCTCGCACTGCGCCGGTGCTGAGGGGAACACCGCCGCTGAGAAGCGCCCTGCGCCCGCCTTTCCCCCCGTTCCCGAAATCCATGTGAATCTCCAGTATTTTTCGGGGAAGGTGGTGGCGTAAAAACGCCCCGGCCCCCTTACTCTGCCCCACAACCTTCGGGGACTGTTTCTCCCATCCTGCCGCCTTGCCCTGCCGGCAGGGCCTGCCTGCAGAAGCCTCGCCCCTCAGGGCGCCGCTAACCCCACCTAGCCCTGCCCCACCGAACAGCAAAGGTTTGTTCCCGGGGAGGGCAGGAAAGTGATAAATGCTGAGTTCACTTCCAGGTTTTGGGTGGGTAGCTCCTCCTCCGCTAGTATTGTGGCACGGGCGCGCGCTAAGAGCAGGCTCGGCCCTTGGCTCAAGATGGCGGCGGCGGATAAGCAGAAGCACGAACACGGACGGGTGAAGATTGGGCACTATATCCTGGGCGACACGCTCGGCGTCGGTACCTTCGGCAAAGTCAAGGGTGAGTGACGGGGAGAGGGGCCTTCGCCTTCCCCACGGAGTGGCATGGCTGCGGAGGTAGCGCGTTGGGGGGGTATTTTGGGCCGACCAGCGGAGTCTCCGTTGCCGGCTGAGGGACGCGGCCGCCTGCGGCCGCCTCACAATAGCCGGTCCTCTGGGGCTGGGGTCAGGTGACCGTTGAGGCCTTTCCGGGGCTAGGGGGCGTTTTGGGGCTGGGCTGCTGCCCTAGTTCGGGCTTGGTCCCGCTCTGTTTTCCGCTCAGTGTTGGGGGGGGGGGGGGGGGGGGGGGGGGGGGTCTGAGTTTCGTGGGGGGCGGTACCTGGCCGTACCCGCCAAGCCAGGTAGGTGACCGGGATATGGCGGCCCTAGCACCGGGGGCCTACGGGGGCGGTACCCGGCTGTACCCGCCAAGTCGGGTAGGTCACCGGGATATGGCGGCCTCAGCACCGGGGGCCTACGGGGGTGGGAAAGGGGCTGGGGAGAGCGACTGTAGGGTTGACGTGTTTTTGGGGCAACCGCGAGAAGGCTGTTAACTGGAGCCTCGCCCCCAGACGCAGTGGCTACAGGGTGGCGGCCAGGGGCTACATTCTGAATGCTGTCAACCGGGCGTGGTGTTGAGGAAATAGCGTCTGGTATGCTGTGAACGTTTTTCAGGAAAGGGGAGTTGTATTAGTTGACCTCTCGGGGATTGGGACTTGCAATGGGAAATAATCGCTGGAGGAGCAAAATTTTTCTCTTCTGTATTTACGGAAACAATTCTTGGAAGCTAATTATGCTGCATTTATTTAAAACGTCATCGGATATGTAATGAAAGTAGGCAGTCTTAATTCTTGAGCTGTCTGTATGCTTTGCTGCACAAATATTAATACTTGATGCCCTTATAAGGAAGACAAGCTTTCTCCCTCTATAAGGGGAGAAATAAGCATAAAAAGATGGGCCTGAGATTATTGGATTAACTAGCAACACAGCTGACACAGATGTGAAAAGACTGTGATAAAAACGGTTGACCAGTGATTTTCAAAGGGACTCTTTTTCAGCACAGACTTAAACAGCTTCTCCCAGTAGGGGTGCAGATGCCTTGCAGTAAGCTTGAAGCCTAGTAGAAATAAAATAGAAATTAAACTCTCCCTTGATGCCATTCAGCACAGGTGAATAAACTCTGTATTATCTTAAACTATTCCTGTTGTGTTGTTTGTGAGAGTTGTTGAAATATTGGGGTATGCAAATTGAAAACTGTTTCATAAATGAGTTAGACCAGATTCAGGTTGTATTCTTAAAATAAGTTTGTGGGGGTTTTTTATAGTTAACCTAGTGGATTGTTCATGTACCTAGTATAACCAGTAAAAAACCTGTTGTATCCAATGTGTTAGCTGTCTTTTAACATGATATCTTTTTTTCAGTGTAGATGTTTCTATTGTACATTCTTTGTACAAACTCTTTCAACTGTTGGCGTGTTCTGAAGAAATGACTAATGTTTCAGCAGTCTGTTACCATGTTTCATTTCAAATTTTCCTCCTTTAAGTTTAAATTCTTTCTCCCAGAATTAGCATTGGATTAGGAGCATCTCTTTGTATGATTGAAGAAAGTGAGTGAAGAGCATAGATTTTCCTCTCTAGAAATTGAAAGTGATGTCCTGGACAGTGTTCTGCATAATAGCAGAACCAAATCATACCTGGAAGTTGCTTAACTTCTGGCATGCTATAGAAGATAAGAATATATTTGACTCTAAAACTATCTAGGAAAGCAGTAGAAGAATATCTTGAGACTAAAGCCTGTTGACTCCTGGTTGGTTTTTTTCAGGGCCGGCTTATAAAGTGACTCCACCATCCCCAGCCGATGGGGAGCAGTGTGTGAGCCAGCATAGATAGGATGCAGGAACAACCACAAAATCACAGCTGAAGTGCAAAGAGTATATTTATTTTCATTACCTCATCAACTGGGAGATCCCCAAAGCAACACCTGGGCAGAGGCACACAAGCAGGGATGAAGGCACCACAGAGCTCAGTCCAGGCTGGAGGATCACTGACCCTGCTGTTTTCACCTGTTTATCACGGATTTGCACAGACATAGTTTACCACTGTGCTTTGGTCTTTCCTATTGCAGGGCAGGAATCAGCATGTTTGGTAGGGTGCCTCTTAAGTTTATCGCAGGCCTATTTTATCTAAATGCAGATGTTCTATTTGTCAAACACACAAGGCTAAACAACAATTAACATGATATGTATTTTTCTACACCTCAACTGCAGGTCACTTGAGCATGTTTGCAATCCTCATTGTCAATCTTCTGTTATTTTTCCACGTTCCACCCTCTTGCTCAAGGGACAGTTTCCACTGGGGCTGGCAAAGCTGGAGGTGTCCATTTGAACTTGTTGGGTGTAGGGTAATGTCATTTACAGGGGCATGTAATAAACCCATATAGAAAAAGGAATAAACATATTCATACAATCATAAAATCATAGAATGCTCTGGGTTGGAAGGGACCTTAAAGACCATCTAGTGCCAACCCCCTTGCCGTGGACAGGGACACCTTTCAATACACCAGGTTGCTCCAAGCCCCATCCAATCTGGCCTTGAACATTTCCAGGGATGGATGCCACAACCTCTCTGGACAACCTGTTCCAGTGTCTCACCACCCTCACAGTAAAGAATTTCTTCCTAATATCTAATCTAAACCTACTCTCAGTTTGAAGCCATTCCCTCCTGTCCTGTCACTACATGCTCTTGTAAAAAGTCCTTCTCCATCTTTCTTGTTGGCTTCCTTCAGGTACTGGAAGACCACAGTTAGGTCACCCCAAAGCCTTCCCTTGTCCAGGCTGAACAATCTCAATTCTCTCAGCCCTTCCTCATAGGAGAGGTGCTCTATCCCTCTAATCATCTTTGTGGCCTCCTCTTGCTCCAACAGGTTGATGTCCTTCCTGTACTGGGGACCCCAGAGCTGGATGCAGCACTGCAGGTGTGGTCTCATGAGAGCAGAGCAGAAGGGCAGAATCACCTCCCATGCCCTGCTGCCCATGGTATTTTGCTGCAGCCCAGGACACGGTTGGCTTTCTGGGCTGCAAGTGCACACCTTGCACTTGGTCTTATTAAATCTCATGAGATTTCCATGGACCCACTTCTTGCACTTGTCCAGGTCCCTCTGGATGGCATCCTGTCCTTCAGGTTTGTCAACTGCACCACTCAGCTTGGTGTCATCTGCAAACTTGCTGAGGGTGCACTCGATCCCTTTGTCTATGTCATTAATGAAGATATTAAAAAACACTGGTCCCAATACAGACCCCCGAGGGACACCACTTGTCACTGATGTCCATTGGGACTCTGAGCTGTTGACCACGACCCTCTGGATGTGACCGTCCAACCACTTTCTTATGCATCTCCCCATCAAATCCATCACTCTACAATTTGGAGAGAAGGATGTTTTAGGGAACTGTGTCAAAGGCTTTACAGAAGTCCAGATAAATGACATCTGTAGCCCTTCTCTTGTCCACTGATGTAGTCACTCCATCATAGAAGGCCACTAGGTTGGTCACAATAGTGCTTTGAATCAGGTGTCCCACTGTTTTGCAGACAGGCAGGGTACTCAACAAAGCAACTGCAGACTAGTCATTGTATAATATGAACAGTTTATTAAACAAGCACAGTAAAATGAATGGGATATATATATAGTACAAAAGGAAATTAGCATTGCATCAAATCATTACTGCATAGAGAGAGAACAGTGATTAAGAAGAAATATGTCACCACTTACCACCTAATGCTCAACATCCAGGCCCACACTTCAGCTGGGAAGCCAGGAGTCTCTGGTAACTGGGAGAATTCCTACATGACATGTCCACCCATAGGTGAGGCTTCAGATCGACTACAAGAGGGTTCCCCCTTTTGATACGCTTAGAAACAAAACCAGCTTTATGCCAGGTCTGTAACTATCCATCCGTGTGGACATGCAGTTTCTCATGATCTTGAAGTTGGCCATACCTAGAGCATTGACCAGGTGCCCTGGCGTGGCCAAATGTGGAGGTCATGGAACAGCTGCACACGTTTCCTACCTTTTCCCAACATATAGTCATAACAATTATATACTTTATTGAATACACTTTATCAAAGACATACTTTATCATGTTTCTCATAGTCATGAGCAGGGGTCAATTCTCAGTTAAGTTCTCATCCATTACACTCACTCATCCTGCCAGGGAATTAAACCATTCAGCTGACCAAGCACCACCAGTAGATTGTTTCATTTGATGCAGTAAGTCCTGGAGATGTTGAATGTTGTCCTCTATGGTGGCTGATTCATCAGTTACATTGAAGCAACACATGCCTTCAAAATTGGAGCAGTGTTTATGGTGTTGAAGAAGGAGACAGTCCACCACCACCTTGTTGTCGCAGTCCGAAAGGAAGAAGGGACAGGACATGAGGAAGGGTGCAAGCAGACTTCTCTATTCAGGCGTGTGCTCGATTCTTAAACCTTCCCGCCAGGGAAAAAGGGGCAGAACAAAGGGTGGGCTATCAGACAGACAAACGGGGCAGCAAATCAGAACAGGGCACAGGCAAAAGGGGGAGGAGGAAGCCTGGGCATGTGCAGTTGTGCACTGTGTAGCATGGATACAGTGAAACCACATAATAACAGTAAAGTCCATATGAAAGTCCTGCCAATTGCTGTATGCTTTTCTCCATGCCTGGAACTGTTCCCATCCTGAATCTTGCTTCTCTACACCACCTGATTTTGTAATGTTCCTTGGCATACAGTCATTACCTACTCAGAAAGAATAACAATGAGGAACATTAATATCAAAAGCACTTACATGGTATAATTCTGTAATATAGCTATTGGGATTGGCGCACCAATGAAACATGTTTTCAAGAGATCTGCAGCTGTTTATCCTCCCTCAATACAAAAGGCAGACAAATTAGTTACAGTAGAGGCCAACTGAATCCAAGTATTTGCATGTTGATCTCACAGAAATATATCCAGTGCATGTGCTTGTAGTACAAGACTACAAAGCAT